AGATAGGTCACATCTTATTATTGACTAACACTTTGTTTGATTAGCTTTATTAAAAATAGAGTTCTTTGATTTATTAAAAGGAGAAAGTCCTTTCTTCATTCTTCTCTTGAGCTGGAAAGAAGCAGTTTAGAAGCAAATGCATGAGACCTTGAGGCCATATCTCATGCAGACTAGTTCTGTGTCAGAGGAGAGGGGGGAAATGACTTTTGGTGGAAAACAGTCATTTCATTCCATTACAGACCAGAACCAGGATCTTGAAATGAACCCTGAAGTTGACTGGCAGCCAGTGAAGCTGGAGGTGAAGCGGGGTGATGTGGGTGTGTTTGGAGGACTTGGTCAGAAGCCGAGCACAGGCGTTCTGAGCCACCTGTAGACGGTTCAGGGAGGTTCTGCTCAGACACGTGAAAAGAGAGTTACAGTAGTCTAAGCGTGAGGAGATGAAGGCGTGGATAACTGTCTCAAGTTCAGAGCGAGACAGAATGGGACTCAGCTTAGCAATGTTCCTGAGATGGAAGAAGGAAGAGCGAACAAGAGAACTGACATGAGAATCCAGGGTGAGAGCTGGGTCAAAGGTCACGCCAAGATTCCTGACAGAAGGTTTGGTGTGAGAAGCAAGCTGACCAAGAGAGTCTCTGACTTTGGGAACCAGCTTGTCTGGGGCACAGATGAGGATCTCAGTCTTATCTTCATTCAGCTGAAGAAAGCTCCCAGTCATCCAGGTTTTGATAGAGTCTAAGCAGGTGTGTAACAGCTGCAGCTTAGACATCTCATGGGGCTTAAAGGAGATGTACAGTTGAATGTCATCTGCATAAAGATGGTAGGAGATTCCTTTGAAGGAGCTCAGGATGTGCTGAAGAGGAAGCAGATAGAGGAGGAAGAGCAGAGGCCCCAGCACAGAACCTTGTGGGACACCATGGGTAAGAGAGGTGGTGGAGGACCTACAGTAAACTTGGAGATGGCCACAGAAAAGGAGCGCTCAAAGAGATAAGAGGAGAACCACTCCAGAGCAGTTCCTGATAGGCCTACCCAGTCTCTCAGCCTCTCCAGTAGCAGGTGATGGTCAACAGTGTCAAAGGCTGCAGTCAGGTCCAGCAGGACCAGAACAGAACAGTCCCCTGCATCACTGTGAGTCAGAAGGTCATTAGAGACCCTACAACAACACATGCCTTGAGGAGTTCTGCTGTGTGGTGGAGTAACTAATGCTGACGGTTAGCTTCCACTAGGCCAGGAGATTCTCTGCTGTTTCCTGGACACTAAACCAACAACAGTGTGATGTAGGTGTGTCAGGCTTTTAAAATCTTAGAGTTTCACCGTCTATTTTCTATCAGAAGCTAATGCAGGGGATAGCTGTAGGAGACTATTTTCATGTTAAGTCTGCATGAAGATCTTAGAGTGACCCATTATAAATAGAAATAATCATTACAATTTTTCTTTCAGAGTTCCACACCTTTAAAAAGGATATTTGTGCATATTTCTAAAGTTGCTACACCTTGTAAAATAAAATAATAAAAATATGAAATAATTTGAACCCTTTTTTAAAAAGTACAAATAATTTATTAAAATCAGATAATTACATTATTTTGAAAACAAACATTTTTTAGAATGGAATCCATCTGGTTGTGGTAGAAAATGAAGACATGTGTAACATCACATAGGATGGATCTGTTGTGTTTAAGTTTGTCATGCTTGTTGCGATTGTTAACATAAGTGCTGCAAATCAGAAGTGGCTGGGATGAAGCCAGAACCATAATTAAAAGCGCTGATTTCCTTTGACATGTCAGAGTTTCATTTGAGAACAAAGCCTCTTGCAACATCCAACAAAAACAGCAACAACAAAAAAAGAGAACATGTTGAGTAAGAGCTGGAGCACTTACTTTCACTCTCTGTTCGGCATATTGTAACAACTTTCTGAGCAAAATCTAAACTGCAAGAAGGTTAAAAATTCAACAAGTCAGTCATAAAGAATGGCCCTCTGTGTGTTACATAACCAAAAATTATTTTTTCCATGAGGAGTTGCTGCAAAACCAAGCAAGTATTTTTGTGCATAATGAGAAAATAAATTGGAAAACAAAAGCCCAAACACAGCAGAAATGGTAGAATAAGGAATGTTTTCTGTTGTTTGTTTTGATAAATGTCCTGTAAAAATGTCATTTTGAAAATAATTGTATGCTTTTGAACAAACTCAATCATTTCTGAAAGCAGATTGTCAAGAAATAAAGACATAAATCTTCTGTTTAACTGAACTTTTGATTCTTCACTTTTATTTATGGAGAAAATAAATCAAACTTTGAAAAAACAGGAATTATTTTTTATACATTTAAGCACAAATGATTTAACTGAGATAATGAGACAAACATTGTGCAAATGTACAGTTCTGACTGATGATTTGGCAAGCTCATGTGTCTCTTTAATATGAAGGAAATAAGAACAAGAGGGGTTTTAACTGGAATGAGGGGCGGCGGTTCCTGTTTGAGAAAATAACTCGGAGCACGAAGCTGCATGGGTCAAAGCTTCATTTTATTTAATTATTTTTGTCAAGTTTAGTAGAAAGCAAACTGTTCCGCACAAAGGATCAACTGACCGCTGTGACATCAGCGCCTGACTTTCCCACTCAACAACAGGAAATCCCCGCAGTCCGGAGCACAAATCCTACAGAAAACCAGTTCTTAACACGGTTCAGGAAGAAGGATCACTCATGTGAACTCTGTCCAGAATACATTCAAGTTTAATTTCTAAAGTTATAACATATGCACTTTGGGGTTTTCGTGCATTAAATTTTCAGCTCATGTGGCATAAATTATGAGCTGATTTACTGTCCTGCTTATGCTTCAGGCAACTTGAGCTCATGAGAACAACAGGGTCTGGTGATGAGACATGACCAAGAGTGCAAACTGGGAAGTCAGCTATAAATCTATGGCTCAGAGTTTACTACATGTTTACATGCTTACCATGCTGGAGACAACTGGGCATCAAATCTTGTCCCTGAGGTCAGCGTCTGTGTTTTGGTGATCATTTTGCACAATTTACAGACTTAAGGATGGACTCCTTCCCTTTCCAACAAGCATTCATGGGGAAATGTAAAACAACTAAGAACATTTTCCTAAAGGGTTGCTTTATGAGTTCATGTACACTGATTTTATTTTTCTGATTTTGATCCACTGATGCAGGAAAACCAAAAATACCTCATGAGAATGAGAAATATAAAATAAGCATAAAAAGAATGCTTAAGAAGCTAGGTCTGGAGATTCTATAGCATACCATCTCTGAGGGCTTTGGAAGTATTTTTCAGTCTTTTATTGCCGTGTTTCTTTCACCAAACATTCTCGTAAACGGTCGTATAAAAATAACTCCGACCACCAACAGTTCCCAGACTCAAGTTTATCTTCTTTTTTAGATTTTTTCTTGAAGAGGTCTAATTTGACTTTTGATGCCAGAAATGCATTTTTTAAAAGTTGTGCAACTGCGCATAGCCTTCACACCGATGCAGTCTTCCACAAGATGAGCTCATTCTGTTTGGCGAAGGGTTTGCTGTTCTCTGGTCTTTAAACTTTAAACATTTTAAGAAACAAACTACTTAAAAAGCCCCAAATAAAAGCTGAAAAACACAATTTTCAGGCTCAGATGTAGCTTTACTTAAAAATCATGAAACATTTTGCTCCAGAAATGACTGCGTGAGCTCAAGAATACATTTATCAAATTCCAAACCCAGCTCACACAAACGCACAAATGCAAACAATTGTAGATCGGTGAAGACATGATTCATACTGAAGGACAGGCGTGGAGCCACTTAATATCACACAGACCTCAGTTACAAAAGACCTGCCTACAGTTCAGGTCAGACACTAAATAAAAGCATCATGAAATGAAAAACACACCAGTGAGGACTCTGATATGTTGACCAGTTTAGATCAAGACCGTTTCATAATGAAAAATAAATGATTTTATAACAAAAAACAGAGGTTCTTCTCTTTAAAGCTGATTAAACTAACTGGAACTGAGGATTTAGTGAAGGATTAGGGAGAAGCCAGGCTGGAGAAGCAGAGTGAGAAGCTAAGAGAAGAGCATGAAGAGTTCTGAAACTCTGCAGAACCACCAGCAGCTTCTACCTTCTTGTAACAAGCTGCTGTCCAGGCAGGCGGTTTGAATTCCTGTTATAGATTGATGCTACTTTTATAATTTACAGTTTTACTGATGTCGTTTTCACAGATTTACCCATTACACGCAGTCCTCCTGAGGATGGTCTGTGAGAACCAAGTTAATAATAAACGGAGTAGGAAGTGACGCCACCATCAGCGTCAGCTCTGAAGATGTTCGCAGCCGCAAACGAAACTGTCAGCGAGGTAAAGAAAAACCTCATCTGTGTTTAAAAAAAGAACCAAAAATAGAATTTGAAGACAAACACAGCAAGAACGCACAAAAGTTGTGAGAACCAGTCTGGTTGCAACATTGAGTAAAACATTAGTTTGCCAGCAGGACTTTGAGTCCAGAACCTACTTGTTCACCAAATGGCTGTGGGCTGACTGAGACTGAAACATAAAGCGTGATTTATTGAGGGGTGAAGACCGGGGCTGTTATCTAACTGCTTTCAGCTGTGAGAAGGAAATGATGTGAATAATCAACACAACATGTCACACACGATTCAGCTTAGACCCACCGAGCGCCTGTCACACATCTCCACGGCTCCTGGGTTCGATCGGCGACCCTTCGGCCAACTTCGAAACGTGGGTTTCAATTTCTTATGTCTGCTGTTTTCAAACCACTCTGTCTCTGAGTGAGGGTGATCAGAACCGGAGCAAAGACACTAAGTAGTTCTAATGAGTTTGTGATGTGTTTGAAGATTTAAATGAAGTCATGACAGTCTTACAAAAGAAATATCTGTGTGTGTGTGTGTGTGTGTGTGTGTGTGTGTGTGTGTGTATGTGCGTGCGTGTGTGCGCGTGTGTGTGTGTGTGTGTGTGTGTGTGCCAGTGATCAAGTTGCATGTCTCGTGAGTGATTAAAACTGTGTGTCGGAGGAGGTGTGGTATCACCAGGCTATAAGAACACACATCCTCCTCAGGCTAGACCAAAGATTTTTCCTTTTCTGAAGACGTCGTGTGAGATCCTGGATGTGAGCAGGTATGATCTTCTGCAGGCTTTTGAAAACATGTCTGATTTTACTTGGAGTTTTTTTGAATGTATAATATTTTAACATTGTAATATTTGAGAGAACTGCTTAAGTTCCTGTACTTTTGCATGATTTCTGTAAACAAGCAGCCTTAGAGAAGGAACAGCTGGACACAGCTGGAGCCCAAGCTGAATTTGTAATTAGAGATCAAACCCTATTTTTTAATGCACAGCAGGATGGATGAAGGAATTTGTGATGGAAAAATATTTTATCTGTGCCCCAGGAGATGGGGGCGAGGCAGTGTCGAGTCGGTGGACTAGTCATGTTTGTGCTTTCTCTGTTTTTTAATCCAAGATAGCAGCAGCCGGCAACAGCAGACATGAAGTGTCAAGCTCTCGTCCTCCTCCTGCTCTTCACCTGTATGTACCTGAGTCTGGCACAAGGTGCGTTGAACAGATTATAGTCCCAGTTTGCTGCAGAATATACACTCTAAGAAATGAAATGTTGAGTTCATTTAACCAAGTTGTCAACTGCTTCCAGTCAGCCTTGTAATATAACAAACTAGGTTGAGTGGAACCATTTAACTATGGTGCAACATTTTCACTGTTCCTGTGGGAGTTAAAATGTGCAGCTTTCAGAGTCTGGACTGTTTATTTTTTTTAAGAAAGTCCTGGTTTGACCTAGTTTACAACAATTGTAGCTTCAGATGGTTTACTAAGCACACTTTAACAAAACCAGCAGTGAAGAGAATAATTGCACTGGAAGCTTTTTACCACAACATACCGAGGTTGTGTCTGTCAGGACTTGCCACCGTGGAGCCTTTAGGTGTGATGACAGAAGTTCCACAAAAGAATAGGATTTGCTTTAATCCGCCAGAGTAACAGATTTATTTCTAAACACTTTCTCACAAGTTCAAGTTCAGTTTTTTTCAACTTCTTTAATATATCAGTAAAAATTATAACTCTGATGAATTTATTACATTTATAAAAGAAAAGAAGAAACATAAACATTTTTATATAGTGCCTCTCAAGATGAAAATCACGAGGCACTTGGCAAGAACAAAAAAAAGAATACAAATATAATGATAAAAAACTGGTACAAAGGAAAAATTTCATAAAAAATGTGAAGAAAAAAAGGAAAAGAAAATGAAGAAACAACTATTTATATAGTGCCTCTCGAGATACAAATCAAGAGACACTTTACAAGAACAAAATAAAAAATCTTTTCAAATGATAATAAAAAGGAGTAAAAAGAAAAAAAAAGGATTAAAAATGTGAAGAAAGAAAAAGAAAAAGGATCCCAAAGAAGCCAGAAATGACAGAAACAGCAGCAAGAAAAGAAGCTGGTGAGGAAGAAGATGACGAGGTCACACAAAGTCAGCTTGGACAGACGAGTTTACTGCTGCTTTTTAAAAGGCCACAGAGTTCACTGCAGACCTAGCCCAAAGCTCTGTGCATCAAAACTATTTTGGGATTAATTATTCCTGATTTGTCCTAAATGCTTCAAATTCCTGCAGCAGCTTTCTCCTAATGAGGCATCACAAGAGTAGTTAGTGTTTTGTTCATAAACATAACAGGGTGCAAAAACGATTACAATCCAGTCATTTTTACACAACTATAACAGCTAAAGTACCCATGTGCATGCCTACGTTATTTGGTACAAATTATGATTGACTGGGTGAAAACCTGCAAAATTAAACAGGAATACAAAGGATATGAACAAATATTCTGATCAGTATGGTATGCAAATGTTTACACAGACCAGTTGAATCCAGCAGAAGGATACAAAAGCAGCAGGCGCATCCAAGCAGGGAGTAAAACCTGATGGGTATGACCAGATGTAGATTTAAGATAGTCAATGAAAGAAAATCACCTTTTACTGTTCTTTCTTTTTCTGAGATCTATTTTAGACTCACATGAGGAGTTTTCCAAACATTACTGGATTGTAATCTGCAACAGAGCCAAAAAGTCTACATTTAGGGAGAGATGGTTTTATCTATTAATATAAAGTTAATGGTTCAAAAAGGGTGAATCTTTGATGACATCAGGGTTAAAGTGGTTTTCAGACAAGGGGATGGACCCCAGTTTATTAATAATCACTAAAACCTCTGAGATGGACTTTGATCTGCAGATAGAGAACAGAAATGCTTTTTTAAAAGCTCAACGTCTCCTCTAAAAACAATATTTAAAAATGTTTGTTCACTTTCTGTATCTTTGTGTGTTTTTCTTCCCTTCAGGTTCATATGACAACTGCTGCCTTGGCTATGTTAAAATGATGGGCAAAGTTGCAAGGAAAAACACTTTTCATTACAGGCTGCAGGAAACAGATGGCGATTGCAACATCAGAGCGGTTGTGTGAGTACTTAATGTTGTATCCTGATCTATTGTTTTTTCCACATTGTTACAACTGGCAACTCATAATGGAAAAACCTGCACACACAAGCAGGTAACCGATCCATGTCAGAGCAGTAAAAACGAAAATGTTTCTGCTGTCCAGGTTCTTCGTAAAGAAACGTGGTGGAACCGAGCGGACTATCTGCAGCAATCCAATGGACAAATGGGTGCAGATTCTGATCCAGGATGTGGATAAAAGACCTAAACCCTAGGTGAAAAGTTGCACAACACACCGTCTCCATAATGTAGTATAGCAGACATTCTCACCCATTTGTCATGATGAAATGTGTCTTTGCAGATCACAAAAAAGAGGATAAACAAGATTGGAGAAGAGGGAGGCCTTTTCACCCCTCTGTCAGCCATCAGTTATCATCTTTATCAGAGTGAGATTTCTCCAGTTGTTGACAGAGAATGTGAATCATGTAAGCAGTTCTTTATAGCAAAAGCTGTAATCTCAAGTATTTAGCAAGAACAGTAAAACCAGAGCCACCTATATGAGCCACAGTCACTACGTTTACATGCAGCCAATATCCGGGTTATGATCGGGTTAAGGTCGGTATTCGGGTTTCTGAGTTGATCAGAATAACCCGTTTACAAGCATAAATAGAAAGAGTTACCCCTAACTTGCATAACCCGATTTAAATGCGGACGTTGGGGTAGCGTCATATGCATCATTTCTGGTTCTTCTTGTTCCGGTGTCCGTGAAAACAACAACATGTTTCCCAGTTCGGAAGAGATAGCGACCGCGTTTGTTTGCGCTTTAGTTTCCTCGTCACTCCAAAAGTGTGGTGCTGTGCCGCGACTCGCCATGTTGCTCCCAACTTGTTGTTTACTTCCAGTGTTCTGGCGCATACAAGACGTCTCGCTACTCAAAAGACCAAGATTCCTTGCGAACAGAGCATGCGCAGAACACGCGCTTTGATGGGGATATCCCGATATGCGTTTACACGACCAAACATTCAGGTTAGAAAAGGGTTACCCCAGGTGTAGTAACCGGGTTTTTAAAAACCCCGTTATGAGCATATCCGGGTTTTTGGCTGTGTTTACATGGACCTGCGGAACCGGGTTATCGTGAATATTCGGGTTTTAAAAGGGTTACTGGCTGCATGTAAACACACTCTATGATGCAGGTCACTTCTCTATGAAACGTAAAACCTGCTAACAATGAGCCACCCTTTGGCAGCTTTGAAATGTGAGTAATTACCTTTCTGTGAAATAAATGTAAAACACCTTAGTGATAAGCTGAGCTGAGTCTTTTATAATGCTCTAGACTTATTTTTTTATATGAGCACTCTATCTGTACTTTATTATTTTCTTTTTTCAAATAAAAAAAAGAACAAAAACGTTGGTGTGGTGATGCTAATCAATCCGACTGTGTGATGACTAACTCACGCGAGATTTTGGTATGCATGTGTGAGAATCAAGATGACTGAATAAAGATCAGACCAGTTCAAATCCCAACGTAATCATTGATCTTTTTACTCATACCAATGAGAAAATATAACATTGTGTCAGCAGTGTACCCCTCCACGAGACCACCAAAGCTCAGCAGAACACCATTGTGGCTTCTTCTGAGGAGAAAACCACTTGGAGAGAAAATAAAGTTAAACTAAAACAGGAGAGATGTAGTAACTCATATAAATGGTTTATAAAACGTGTGCCAGACCATGAAGTACCTTTACTTCCTCCACGATCGCCTACGACCAGCCACCCACACAGCTGTGGCACCATTTGGTTTGCATAACCAGAGATTTTCTGCACAAACTGTCAGAAACCGTCTACGGGAAGCCCATCTGCATGCTTGTCGTCCTACACTTCCACTCTGAGACCACAAAGGAGAGGTGCAACATGCACATCCATTTTTTCCAAACAAAAAGTTAATAGTGTGTTTTTGTGCGTCCTATGTTAGATTTGAATAAACACCAAATGATTTGTATCCAACTTCTAAAATGTTCAACCACCCACAAAGATTTGAGAAAAGATGTTGTGCAACAAATGGAGATGATTCCTAACCACTAAGATTCTTTACCAGGAGTTGAAGCCATTTTTGTTTATGTTTGTTGATTGTTGTTCGGTTGATCGTTATCAATCTGTCGTGGTTCTTTGAGTCTAACAAACTTCCTTACATTCATGTTTACATCAGTCTTCACATGCATGCATCGCAGGGGCAGTTTACAGGCAACTGAAGACTCCGACGGGCTGCATGCAGGCTACTTTGCAGAGCTGCACCCCCTCTGGTGACTGTCGGTACTGCATGTTACTTCCAAGCCTTTTTTTTCCCACTCTCATTTGAGAGTAAAATTCAAATTCAGGGCTTTCAGAAAACATCTGGGGCTTGAGCCCAAGTTGCCACCCTCTAACCCCGCCCCCGCGACACTGTCAAGATAATTACAGTAAAAATAGCATTTAACATAATCTTTATTACGCATATGCACGTTTTGTTTCATGTAAACAGGCTGTCTTTAATTTGCCTCTTTTGAGTTGTGTTATGTCAAGCTGTAACATGAAGGGAGAAGAAGTTGAGCTGCTAAACTTCTAATGTGGAAGTAATAAAATAATGTTATTGCATAGTGGAGCAGGGGTGGCCTTGCAGCAAGAAGATAGGTTCAAATCTCAGTTCGGAGGCTTTCTGCAGCGAGAACTGTTCTCCATGTGCATGTGTGGGTTCTCTCCGAGTACTCCAGCTTCCTCCCACAGTCCAAAAACGTGACTGTTAGGCTCGGTTAGGTGTGTGCGTATGTGTGAGTGTGTTTCTTGCACTGTGTTGGACTGGCAACCTGTCCAGGGTGCACCTTACCTGTTCTCCTGAGGACTCCTGAAGATAGGCACCATCCCCCTACGACCCTGCATGGATAAAGTGGGTACAATGGATGGATGGATGGATGGATGGATAAACTGTTAAGTCTTTTTATGTTCATGTTGGAAAATGAATCAAATATATTAAACCTTTCTAAATTGGTTGCAAGAAAGTAAAAATTGAGAATTGTTTTAAGAGTAAAATTACCAACATTCAAACCTATGGAAGCAAATGGAAACATCTTCAAGAGATGGAACAATGGGCCCAATGCAAATGAATCCTATGTAAAAAAATAAAATAAAATAAAAGTATATGTCTATGAATGTTCAGAAATGTATGAATGCAGTTTTCTAAGAAAAGCTAAAAAAAATCTTTTTTTTTTTTTACAGGAAAGAGATGTTTTGTTATAAAGAGCATTTCTGACAACATGTCCAATAAAATGATTTTAATACAAAATCTAATTTGGTGAAACTGACCCCTCAGTGGCATGATCCGCGTTGTTTAGGCTTTTCTCCCAGCTTCCCAGTCAGTGATTATGTACACCTGTTTTTCATTAATATGCTCTGCTCACCTGGTCCTTGTTTGTGATCACCTGCCTCAGGACAAATGTTCCCCCAGTTCACACACTACTGAGAGCCCCTGTTCACATCATGTTTACCTGTTAGAGCCTGCTCTTTATAGTTCACCTGCCAGCTGAATCATAACGCTGCTCTTGGGTCCAACAGCAACCAAAAACCTGACACATTTTGAAGCTCTCTGGCAAAAATAAAGACTTACTGAGAGTTTACTTTTAGATTCCCCAATGAACCCATACACTTTTTAAGTTATTACAGGAATAACCTGATATGGAGGCATTTAGATCAAGACTTAATGCATCTGGCGTTTTACTCCTGTAGCCTCATGATCCCATTCTGCCTCTTCCGGGAAGAGAAGGATGTCTAAATAAGGCAAAGTGAAATTTCACAATCGGCTCAACCTTGTTTTTATGATCTGGAGATTTTTGTCATTCATCCAAAACTCTAAGCTGCTCCATTGCTGCCAAGTACAATTACCAACAAACGCGAGTTTACCTCTTCAGTTGAAGCCTTGGCTCGACATAATAACCCCTAAAGGAAAAGTACAGATGAAGCAGTGTGGAACAGTGAGAAACAGAATCAGAAAGGAATATTTTATTTTCAACATCCTTTTGAAAATTCCAATCAAGTAGGGATTAACTTGTTCAAACAAGGTTCAATAACATAATCTCATATTTATGAATGCACAAGTGACCGTAAGCTTTTCCTAAACATTATAAAACTACCTTACACAACATCCACTGTTAATAATTAACATGGAAAGCCCTGGGTAGGGCTACTTTTACCCTCCAAAAACTGAAGCTGCACACAGATGCTATCATTAATTTGCACGTCATAAGAAACATGAATAGTGGCTTCCTTTTAGAGTGTAAAAGATAAATCTGCAGAAGATTCTGCAGATTGGTGATTTTTCAAGTGGAAGCAACGTTGAGCAACAACAGGACTCCTAAATAAAGTTCTTCTTGGCACATTTTTGGATGTTGATAAAATCAAAGTGTTAGCTCTTGTTAAAACATTCATGTGTGAACAGGCAGAAGGATGACAGTTTGCAAAATATCAAGTTTCTGAGGCGGGCATTACAACAGGACAGGTGCCTGCAAACACGGGCAAAACTAACATTGGACTGTTTCAGAAACACCGGTAAACCCTGAAGGCAGATCGCTGGAGAAAAGAGAAAGTGAAAAGGCTCCCACAATCTTAAATGAACGGGAGATTTCACTAAAACAATGTTTCATGAATATTGCCAAACTATGGTTGATATTTCAACATCACTAAAGAGTTTGTGGTCATTTCAAAACCCGCCTCTTTCTCAAGGTCTGACGTTTCACCTTTCTCTTATTTCCTGGTGACAAGGCTTTAGAAATGCTTTTTGATGAGACAATCTCATTTTAATCAGCATTAATGACACAATAAATCCTGTTCTGTTTTTGTTTTAAGGCCAATTTTTCTAAATGCTCCATTAAAACTGTTTTGAACTGAATCCAACTCATTCAGACGGTGAATAAATTAGACGTGCCCCAGATACGTGTGAGTAAATGAACAAAGCATGTATTAATTGTTTCTGGGAAATATCTGCTAGAGGTATTGCAAAACTTTACTTGAATGGTGCTTTTACTGCGGCCTAGACTGGTTTTACGTTTCACTCACTTTATGTTAATTTCTACAATTGTTTTTTTTTTTTTGCTCACGTTTTCTGTCAGAGGAAGCATGTTCTCCCTGAGCGGGATTACCTGTGGTCCTGGATTACCTCACAGGGTTTACGTTCTCTCTAAGAGGGATTGGAAGATGCTGATAGCCATTCGGAGACGATGTTCTGTGTCAGTAAGTCCACTGTGATCAGAACAGAAAGCCTATTAAGGGCCCTCATCCTCCATGTGTGGGACATTTTGATCCACATGTGATATAACAAGGTCCACGAGTCTGAAGCACCAGCCATTTCTTCTATAGTATAACGCAAACAGCGGAGGGAATCTGTTTACCAATGGATGTTTCAGTCCACTTGTTTGGACTCTCGTAGTCTTCAGGATGAAGTGCTGAGTATCCCACAGCCTCCACTAACCTCCTCTTCTGGGCTCTATGGAGGAGGATCCTGTAGGTCCCTGTCAACGGGCTTTTACAGTCCAAATTGGGATTGTTTTGAAAATGGACTTTTGTAACACCCAAAGCAGACATGAAGTTCTTCACCTCCTCCTCCTCCACACTCAAGGGAGGGTTGGCCTGTGCAAAGTGAGCAGGAGATGGAGGTAAAAACACATATGGTTGAGGGTATTCAATCCCTCTCAGCCAAGTACTGTTTGTAATCTGTGAGATTGGGGTGCGATCAGCAGGCACGGTTCGCAGCATTCCCTTAATGACAAGCTGGCATGGGTCAGGCACATAAGCAGGGATGCTGTAAGCCCCCTGCAGGATACAGCGCTTCAGCCTCCCCATGTTGTCTCCATAGAAGGGTAAAGTCGCCGTCACCATGAAGTACAAGAGAATACCCAGAGCCCAGATGTCCGAGTGCTGGCCGTTGTAGCCTTTCTGCCTGAAGAGTTCAGGAGCGGCGTAGGGTGGAGAGCCACAGAAACTGGTCAGATGCTCATTGGAGCCACATTCTGTGCTGAAGCCAAAGTCTCCAACCTTGACGCAGTAACTTGTGGTGTAGAAGATGTTCTCTGCTTTGAGGTCTCTGTGGACGATGTTGCGGTCGTGCTGAAAAATCACACAAATAGAATAGTTTAAGGAGTTTGAAATCCTCTTTTTCCATCCCTTTCCGACAGCTGCATCGCTCACAATTAAAAACTTTGTTGAATAAGTCGTGAAATGAAAATCTCTTTTTAATTGAACTAAAGTCAGTTAAAGTGACAGATTTACTCACTTCAACCCATTGAGTCACCACACCAACTTCGTCATCCATCGTGTCAGGCTTTAACAACGTCTGATGGAAACATTTAAATCCTCTAGCTCTTTTGTTTTCCCAAAATTGTGAACCCATTTTATTCTAGGTTGTAAAAACACAACCTAATAGTTTGCATTCAGCTGAAATTAAAAGCTTTATTGCTACTTCATTCATCTCTTGTCTCATGCAACTAAAGTAACAATAAAAATCATCATTCGTTTAGATGATCAAAGATTTCCTCAAGACTGAAGTAATAAAAACCAACACAATCCATGCCACATGTGGCACAGTGCATAACGACAGAGGGAGTCTCACCATGTGTTTAACAGCGGAGATGATTTGAGCAAAAACAAGTTTGGTTTCCAGATCATCGAGCTTCCCTCTGGTGGTGATTCTGGAGAACAGGTCTCCACCGTTGCCGTACTCCATCACCAGATGCAGCCTCCTGCTGGTCTCAATCACCTCGTAAAGGCGCACGATGTTGGGATGGTTCAGCTTCTCCATGCAGCTGATCTCCAGGGGGTTGACAGGTGAGCACTTCTTACCCTGTCGCGGCTTGTCCACAATTTTAACAGCAACTCTCTCTGTGACAAAGGAGGAGAATTTGGCCTTCAGTGACTAATTTGAAGAAGTAAATGGGTAACATGAAGACACAGACACATGCTGAGAATCCGAGGATAATTAAGACACATAGAAGTGACCGCCAAATGTTTAACTTGATCCATTTAATACCAAAATTTCCAGGAAGAGCTGGAGAGGAATGAGAGAAAGCTCAGAAAAATAAATATAAATAAAAGATACAACGTTTTTTTTTTACCTTTTGTCAGGGCATGGACCCCCAGTTTCACTGTGGAGAAGTTTCCATGACCGATCTCTCCCCTCAGCTCATAAAAGCCAACCCTCCGCCCCAGCATCAGGTCATTGATTATCCTCTCATTGTGAGCCATGTCGTAGATGATCCTTTCAAATGGGGTCTGCTTCATTTTCTCTGCCTCAGTAAGCTGTGGGATGACACAGGTGGCAGAAGGGGGGGCCAAGGCTGACTTTTCCACCTTTGGTGGCTTGTCTGAACTTTTGTTTGTTTTTTGCTTTGGCCATAGTCGCACTCTGATGCCTTCAAAAAGGAAAGAAGGAAAAGAAAAGACCTGTAAAATACTGGAATTCAGAGAGAGGCACCTTTTTTAGATTTGATGCAGCTCTGACGTCAGAGTTTGACTCTGATTGCTAATTAGTGTGCAGGCAGAAGACGTAAAGTTGTCCTATCGGTAATGAGATTGACCTCTGCGTCATTCATGTGACATAAAAGTCCACTTGCTTTTACATCTTTGAATAAAGGTTATTTCTTCTACTTATTTTGTTGGTTTTTGGGTTCTGCCTGCCTATAAAATTGGGTGAAACATTAAAACATAGAATAACCTTGATTTATTTAAAATGCAAAGAAATGTGTACTAACTTTACTTTTTTCTTTACTGTACAAAATAACTTTATTGAAAAAACTAATAGAGCTCCTTTTGCTCCGCTGAATTCTGAGTGTAACCGGATGACTGAAGTTTGAGGTACGCATGGATGAACAGTTTTCATCACTTTCAGCACATTTGTTTTCATTTCAAATCTTTAAACACGTTAGATCACGTTAACCTATCCACTTTCTGTCAGCTCTAGAAACCGACTATTTCTTAGACATAATTCTTGAAACAATGCGCAAAAACAAAAACAAAAAAACATCTGGCCAAAGCAGGACAGTGTTTTACATTTCAGCTCTGCACAATGTTTCTTTTGTTTTACAGGAAACTGTCCCTCAGAGTTTCAGCCTGACATTGAGAGGTGATAAAATGGGCCCAAAAGTTCCCATGTCAGAATTTGCTAATGCTGGGCAACTCCATTTGTTCCAAACAGCGATAGGTTGACTTGTCCTGGTCACTGTTGGTTAAATTTAGTTGCTACTTGGCAAACTTCCCGGTTAATGAGGATTACTTGTTTCTCCTAGACTGGATGTCACTTCTAAAGGTAGGACGTTATTTTTAGGATAAATACACGAGCCAACTGTGCTGGCAGAGCAACAATAAAGTCAGAGTGGTAACAGATCATCTGAATGACGAAGCATAAAGAAAATACATAACTTAGACTGCCTGGTTGATGAAATACCATTAAACAAATGAATGTATGGTGCACATACTTTATTCTTGGATAATATTTAACAGGAGTTTCTGCTTTTATCACATTAAATTAACTTACAGAAAATATTAATATAGGCTTTAATTTTCACTCTAAGTAATGAAAAATGTTGTTAGACCTGTTCATAAGTCATCAGTCTTACAAATATTTTAAAACACCAATACATAAAGAATAAAAGCATTTTACTTTCTTATCTAAAGGTGAGTTAAATGATAATTATATATAGTTAAATCAAATATAACATAAATGAAAGGGTTTTACCTGGGAGCTGTGGGTCCTTCATGTCTGTTCCCGGAGGCTTTGACGCCGGACTGTGTCCTTACGTGTGAAGAGATCCTCAGAGGGCTAAAGCACTCCTCCCAATCCTATTAATACTGTGTATTAGTGGCCTGATCATCATGTCCTCTGGCACAAACTGACCTCATAAAAATGCTGAAAACATACTTTTGAAGACTAAAGCACCTATGCACCTAAGCATATAGCACATAATGTTGGTTATTTGTTGGTGATTATATTAAAACAGCTGTTCTTAGAATAAACTTCATCTGCATACGAGTTTTAAACAAACGGTGAATATGATGTTCGTTAATTAGGTAATACTGTATAACTTCAGGAAAATCTTAATTTTTGTGATTGTTTGTCCTAAGAAATATATTTTTACAGATAGTTAGACCTATATGGAAACTATTGCCCTACAGATGTCAAGGAAGTAAAAGGTCAAAATGGCATTTATAAAAAAATATATATATATATATTTGGACTATCAGAGGGGTGTTGTGTGTAGTCAGTATTTAAACAGAGTTTAAGGCAGCTAATTTAGGAAATGTAGTCAGTTTCCCCCCCCCCAGCAATCTAAATCCAGCAGCATGACTAAAGTGATGAGTTACTCAAATTTACCCTAACTGTAACATGTTTTATCTGAGAGTATAAGGATGGATCCTGGTCCAGAATAACACCAAGGATCCTGTCACTAGTACTGGAGGCCAAGTGAATGTCTTCAAGCTGTGATCTTAAAACTCTCAGGTCCAAAAAATACAGCCAATGTCTTCTCTGAACATGGAAATAGAAAAGTAAGAGTCTTTCAGGTCTTTAAGACATGTTTGTAATCTGATTACCTGGTTGGATTTTGTCCGTCTCTTGACAATGATCAGCTAAGAATGATGGAGGTGGTGATGATGATGGTGTAAGCAGAGATTTAACAAAGAGACACTATTTCACTTACACATACTTTTTTCCAGAAACGTAAAATTGCTATTGTGATATAAGGCTCTTATCTGCCAACATTGTACTTTAAAAAGTAAACTGCAGGGAATTGATTTCAGTAGTTTGGTGTCTTCAGCGCCTTTTACCGCCCTCCAGTGGACCACTTGTGAGCTGACCCCAACTTATTTTTACTGTTTTTAATTTCTCATAATGTAGAAAAATAAAAATCACAACATTAAAACCTCTAATGCGTGAATTAAAACTAGAAATATCGCCACACAGCGTCACCAAATTGTACATTCACTCCAGAATCTTGCTGCTACATATTTTGACTGACGTCAATTCTAACCAATGACAAGGCATCCTTTAACAATTGTCCAATCACAGACGAGTATTTGTTGGCGGGGTCTGAGCTTTTGACCAATAAACACCATTCGCTCCACGATGTACCGGAAGCACATGCTGGCTCGTGGCGGTTGATGTTGTTGTCTGGGACGTGTAAAATGAGAGATATTCGAGTGTTTTTATAACAGCAAAACACGATTGTGAGGCCATAGGAAATGTCATCAGCAACGCCCGTTCCCTCGGCGGAGCTCGAAGCTGAGCGGTGCGGGAGTGAGGAGGAGAACCGTGCTGTGGAGGCAGAGGACCGGGGTCAGCAGCTGACAGGCCCGGCCGTCGTGCCCCATAACCGTCTGTCCAAACTCCCGCTGGCCCGCATCAAAGCTCTGATGAAGACGGATCCAGACGTGTCCTTGGCTAGCCAGGAGTCTGTGTTCATCATCGCTAAAGCTACGGTAAAACGGTTTACTCAGTAAGAAGGTCAATGTTTTCATGTCACGTCCCCCACGTTTTATCTAGAATAAACCTTTTAGTCCACAAAATAGTTAATATAAACCAATTGCCATTGTTTAATGCAAAACACACGTGTTAGTTTCAGGTAAAATACACCAAACCTACAAGTTTGACCTAATTTTCCCTTTTTTCCAGGAGTTGTTTGTTGAGATGATTGCCAAAGATGCTATGGTGTATGCTCAGCAAGGAAAGAGGAAAACTTTACAAAGAAAAGACTTGGGTAAGAGCTGAAACATTTCAAAGTGACTTCAGAAATTGATTCCTTTTATTTTGATACATTTTTTAAAGTCATTTTTAAGAGTATTTCGAAATTAAGAATACTTCTAGCAACATAATTTTATAGAAACAAATATTGCTACATCAAGAGGAGCCAGTTAAGGTGGCTCGGGCATCTGGTTAGGATGCCTCCCTGGACACCTCCCTGGTGAGGTTTTCTAGGCATGTTCAACTGGGAGGAGACCTAAAGGAAGGCCCAGGACACGCTGGATGTTTTTGGGCTGGCCAGGGAACGCCTTGGGATTACCCTGGAGGAGCTAGCCCAAGTGGCTGGGTAGAGGGAAGTCTGGGCCTCTGTTTAGGCTGCTGCCCCAGCGACCCGACCCCGGATAAGCGGACGAAGTTGGATGCTACGTATTTGTGTATCTCCATGAAAAGTGGAAGTGCTAGAGAATATAATGACTTTAAAAGTCATGTTATTCAAAACAAAATGGTGATTATATATAAAGAAGGAAGCTTTAGTTAGGTTGATAGAAATCACTAAGTGCCTCCTGATTTTTATTTCGAGAGGCACTATATAAAAGCTTGTTTCTTCTTCATTACTCAGTAGCTAAAAAGCAGTATTTATGTTAATAATAATGTTATAATTTCATCTGGTGGAGCAAACACTTTAAACAGGCATGAAGTGATTCAGTTTTAACAATATTAATAATAATAATAAATGAAAATATTAATTGCACACTCTTCTACTTTTCCTCCACAGACAATGCAATAGAGGCCATAGATGAGTTTGCATTTCTTGAAGGTAAATCATAAAAAAAGACATGAAACAATCCTGCAAAGTTTTGCAAATTATTCCATGTCATCTTTTGACTCTGGTATTTTAACTTCACCCACATGCAGATGTGTTTGTGTGTCTTATCATGTTGACCTCTTTCCTCTACAGGAACACTGGATTAAAGATTTTTTATAAGACCACATTAAAAAGATCCTCAACTGTCTAAAATGTGTTTCATTGTTGAATCACAGAACATTTTTTCTAAGTCAACCTCACAGATTGATTAAATGCTTTTATATGACAAGCTCTAACTTTGAATTTGTCTGATATTGTGTAAATGGTTTTGTAAATATGTGAGTAATGTTACTGGAAAATGGAATAAACTTTTGTTTTAACAACACATTTTCATCTTGTGTGGAAACTGCAGAAATATACAATTCCCAGTAATGGAGTTTTTAACAGAATTGTACAATTATAACATAATTAATTGAAGGTTGACTTTTTTGTTTTAAAAACACTTTTCTTTTATTGGTTGGATAAAATATGCAAATTTTTTGAGATAGGGATTTTGGGTTTTCATGAGCCGTATGCCAAAATCATCAATATTAGAAACAATGAAAGGCTTGAACTACTTTAGTTGTGTGTAATGAATCAAATATATATGAAAGTCTGTTAATCTGTACATTACAGAAAATAATGAACTTCATCACAATATGCTTATTTTTTAGAAGGACCTGTATCTGCTGTATTTGGGATCATTGTCCCATTTCAGGACCCAGTTTTTCCAGGTGTGGCAAAACAATTTAGATTTCAAATGTCACAACAAACTTGGCAGAGATGACAAAGCTGCTAATAACAACTACTCTTATTAGCTTATCTTAATTTACACAAGTTTATCATATAAATGGATGTAGTTTTGGGGGGTGGGGGGACACGACCCCACCCCATTTTTTCCAAACAAAATTTTGGTACCCTGCAATTTTTACCATCCAAAAACAATGTTACACCATATTAAATAGACACTGGTTGAGCACTAGGACCAAGCGGAAAACAACTGCTTCTGTTGAAGCCTGTTTCCCATTAGAACCATCCATAAGCTCATCTATTGGCTGTGCTGGTACTTGCTAACGTGTGATTGGCTGTTCCTGCCACCTGACAGTTCTGCATTCCTGCCATTGCATAAAAGAGCCTCTAGGCTGTAGTTTTATACATGTTTTTTGTATACTTACTGTGAGAGCCAATTTAACTGAAGGTGTAGTTATTGGTTTTGACACTAGATGGAGGCAAACCCACTGATCTTTTGAACAAGTCACTGCCTCCACCTCTATTTAATCATGGTGCAAAATGGACACAGGTGTGTTGGATGGAGACAGGGGCAAACAGTTTTGGACCGTGCTGAAGCAGGTTAGATTATGTTGGAGCTTACAGAAAGAATTGATTGACTATGGGAACAAATGTCAGATGGAGCTGTAAGAAAATAAAAGAACAACATTTTATTTCACCCCACGCGTCAACTGGTCTGTCCTCTTCCATCACCTGTGGTGGACAGGTTTCGTTTGGAGAAACTATGGCAGCACACTTACTGTAAAGTAATCATACCCCACTTCTGAAGTCAAAACTATCTCCATGATCATGTATATGACCTTTTAAATAAATAAACTATAAGATGAACACCTTTTATAATCTTGCTTTTACTATTTAAATCCAAGGATGTGCTTCAGTAATGTGGGTTTTGGAGCAGCCGTCTGTTTTTGACATGCACACATGAACCTCACTCCCTTGCTGAAGTGCTGAGGTTCAGATTTCTCATTCAACATTATGAGTCTTGAGAAAAATCCCATTTCACTAAGAAGGTATCAGGGTCTCACCAGACATGAGATGTGTGTTATTCTTCCTGGAAGCTTCCAGAGTCTCCAGTGTCCGAGGCAAGGCTCAGCCAAAACCTTAAGAGTTGGTGCAACAGAGCTGTTTGTTTCCAGAAGGGCTCCAGTCAACTCCCTGTAGAGGAATGCTAGGCTGGCTCAGGAGAACTCAGGACAATTTTTTAAAATATCATCTCACGTTGAAGGATAGGACAGTATTTTCTGCTACGCAAATAAATATTTTATTAAAATCAACAAAAAGAAATCAGTGCTGTCACCATTAGTCGATTTGTCACGATGTCGACAAAAATAGTCAACAATAAAATTAAAAATTATTGTTAATGAAGCTTTTTTTTTTCTTTTATCTTGCTTTCTGCTTGGGGCACATGTGCAGTAGTGGCCATCTGGATACGCGGTCACGTTAAAAACAGATCACAGCTCAAGCTAGAAGCCTAACCCTTCTACTTAAAGCAGTAACTGAAATTATAAAGTCAGCGAGCATGAACACAGGTTCATGTGATGTCCGAGCATTTTTCTCACTCTTATCATCTTAATCGAAAACCCTGGTTATTTAAGTTTAATACTGACAATCCAGAATTGGCAAATCTTCCCTTTGCTCAGAGGTTTTTGAAAGAGAAGTTTTCAGTGTCGTTTATCTTCACTTTTGTGTGCATGACAGGCCAAACCGTTGAAAAATATCTCCATTTTGTGGGATACCCGGCTTTTAGGCTCTCAGATATAAATGTATTTTTCTGACAAATTAAACTAAATACTAACATAAATATATATAAAAATACTAATATAAATATATCCCTTTGATGCATAATGGTCACTACAGTGGACAGGTACTCAAAACTGTTTTTTTTTTTTTTTATTGAGCACAGCTGTTGAAGACAGCAGTAGCTCAGGTGGTAGAGCGGGTTGCCTCATGCCTCATGGTCATGGGTTTGATTCCAGCTCCCGCCAGGGGTATCCTGCTGTTGTGTCCTTGGGCAAGACACTTCACCCAACTTGCCTGTGTTAGTGGTGGTCAGAGGGGCCGACGGCGCCAAATGGCAGCCTCGCCTCTGTCAGACCTCCCCAGGGCGGCTGTGGCTACAAGTAGCTTACCATCACTAGCAGTGTGTGAATGTGAGAGTGTGTGAAAGCATCTTTGGGTGTCTAGAAAAGCGCTACATAAGTTCAATGCATTATTATTATTATTATTATTATTTTATGCTAAACAGATTGAAACTTATTGAAATACTGTTTTATCTAAACTATATGTAACTGAGTTCTTAATCTACTGTTCCAATTACACACTACAATTTAAAATACTTAAAAGGCAAATATTTTTTATGTTTTCTTGCAAGTGTACCGTTGAAAAATATCTCCATTTTGTGGGATACCCATCTACGTGTAGGCTCACCTCTGTTCTAAGTCATTTCCAAACAAGTCTTCTTTAAATCTGCATTTCAGTTTTTTTAATTTAAAGCTTTCTTATATGTGCCACTTGTGAGTAATGTCTAAATAATAAGCCGAATGAGTCTGTTTATAAATGTTTAAATGGTGGCCAAACATTTTTCCCTCAGCTTCAGCTCCTTAAGCAGCTTCCTCTCGGACGGTAGAGGAAGCTGCTGAGCTGAATTCATCACTGGCAACTTGTGAACAGGTAAATGTGGAAAACAACAACCTTTATGAATGGCGAAAGTTTTTTTTTACCCATTTGTTACAAATCGGTATATGCATTTTGTCCTTACGGGCTCCCATAGAAGGAAACCTGATATTTAAAATGGTTTCTCCTAGAGACTTAAAGCATTTCTCAATGTCAAGGTGCCTTGCTCACGAGGACATTGTCCTTTCTTGGTCAAAGAAAACGGTTAAATTGAACAAACTTAACCCACATGACCGCAGCTGCCCAAAGCCATGTCCTTGTCTCCGGTCAGCCATTTTCAAACACATTTCGATGGATCTTTTTCCAGAGATAAACGGTAAAAACTGCTGATTTAAAGGAAATTCAAAAATGTACCTATGATGAACAGCAGCTTATAACAAAGGTGTCTTTGTGGTCTTTTGTCCACGTTTACAAAATCTGAACTTAACTAAAAAAAAAACAGGAAATCATTTTTAAGCTCCTTCTGTCCATCCCAATCCAAAACTTGCAAAGAAGACTTGATTTCCTTTTGCACAAAATGAATAAAACAATATTCTGCAGTCAGAACTGCATTCCACGGAGCTTTTTGTCTTCATTTAAGGATTATATCAACTGCCCAACCCCCCCCTCCAACCCAGCATTTCATCCCTCAGAAATCCTTTCAGGTACATAAGAATCTCCTCCATCTGCATGTCCAGGACTCTGAGCCAAGCTCTCCATCAGCTTCAGGAGGACGTAACATTCCTCCTCACATCTCCAGCACTTCACCCCCTAAGAGGGGAAGACATTACACCGTTTTCCCATCAATTCTGCTGTTGCTTTAATTTGTGATTTCCTTTATTTGAGGGTGTTGGCACACCTTAACACAAGATATTTTAATCACTGCAAAAATATGCACAAAATGTATCTGACTCCTGTAGAAGGTATGTTTTTGCAGCTGCGATTCCAGTCTGTTTTTTTTTTGTGGGCCAAATTCTTTAACAGTTAACCTCACACTCATCTCTCTCTCTCACACACACACACACACACACATACGTATATACGGAGTGCATTTTTCCCCAACCTCGCCCATCTGACTGCATATTTTCATGCCTATAATTCCACAAGGGACGTAATGTTGCCTGGTTGTCTGGATATTTCTCTTCTCTAACCCAACAAAGACATTTGACATCTTTATCCAGGTGTGTTAATGTCCTGCCAGGGAGAAGTGGTCTTAGAAAGGGAATCATTGTTTCCAATGTCAATGGGACAGTCCCCCATACACTGTTGAAGAAGTCTCAAATACATAATTTTTCTAAATAAAGGACTTCAGTACCTCTATCTGCTCTTGGCTCAAATAAAAGCCCAACTTTAAATAGTCCAAAGTTGATGCCAAAGCCATTTCAAGCAACCCGTCGCCATCCATGTTGTTTCGCTCAGTTGCGTCATCTCACCCACCAAACTAGCGTGCTGATTGGCCCACCAAACTGAGCACTGTGATTGGTCAGACACATAACTATTCAGACCTACTTAAGTTCCAAAAGAGCGTGGATAGACCAACCTTCAGATAAAAATAATTTTGCTTCTGCTACGATCTGTCTTTATAGGCCAACATTTGACTATATGACAGGTGAATAAAATGTTTATACTTGCTAATCCAAAGAAACATTTAATTAGGCCCGAGCAGCGAAAGCGCTGCGAAGGCCTCTTGTTCATTTTGTATCTTTTCAAAGTACAAGTCATAAAATGGCAAAAAGGAGTTCATAAAGTTCACACTACATGTGTCTACATAGTCTGGGGATGAATTTTGATTCAATATGCAGGTAAAAAGCCAAATATGAGTAGGAGTCATGACAGTAAAGGCTTTTTATTTATCTAAACTATGAAGTTTAAATGTCAGATTCTGAGATTTGTCCAAAACTGGGA